ATCAATACGCGCGAGATAATTCCCAACACTTCTAAAAGTTCAAATGTTCACGATTTTTATAAAAATCAGAAGAGCTCTACAGTTACCGGTACATAGAAGCCACATTAATCTACAAATGTGTCACTAGCTCCATACACATGTAAGGATACTTCTTGTAATCCTATAGGATAACAGATAAAAGTATATATCCACTTTCAAAAATAAGAGTAAGTTACGAACGCACAACCTGACCTGCAATTTGGTTCTTAACTTTCATAAAATCTGAATAGCTTGCTCCCACTTAAAATCTAACTATAATTAAGAATACAAACCATAATGACAGCGTAATATTGAGTTTTTACATAGGCGTACGTGATTTTCAGGATGCAATAATACTTATACCTAACCTCTACTACCGATAGTTACTATTACTATGGGATTTGTCTTTGAAAAATCAATTGGTAAAGTGGTGTTGCGACCTGAACTGATATATGACATATTTGATGTTCTACATGAGTGACTGGGGGCTGTTATGCTTGTCAACATTTTTTTCAGAATTACCTGAGTATGTACTTATGCCTAAGTTGTAATTCGTCCCATTTGTGAAAACTGTGGAGGAAAATACGCAGTATGGTGTCGTGAGAAATTTTTTCAAGACTGCCATACTGCAGCTCCGTGAAATTATTAGTTTGTATCTGGATACATAATTAAATTTAGTCCCATAAGAAACGTTTCTGGCAAAATCTAAGATCAACCAATTTTTGAACAGAAAAACAGTCCATGATGCTTTTTATTGACAATATAATTGTCAGCCCACTGCAAAAAAAATTAAAACCAACTTATGATCACTACAACTTCACAACTCACTACACGCTCGGTACCTTTGACCTTCAGACAAAATGTTGGTCTTTTTGGAGGCCGTTACATGAAGAAAGACATAAGTGAAATAATTACTGTTAATACCCTTAACTTGAAATGGGTTGAGATATTTCATTTTGTCAACAAGAGAACAAGGTACTGTCTGATAAAACGATTAGTCATTTTTATGCCATCCTGTCACAACGCATCGCTTAGGTTCTACGCAAATCTGTAGTCTCCACTGGCAATTATGAAGAGCAAACTGATTTCCATTAGTTGAAAAACACTGCAGATATTGGTTTCGGTTTCAGAGTCAGTTCGGAAGAGACAGGAAGTTGAGCGGTCTCTGTTAGTCATGGTGGTCTAGATCATTAATTGAGAGCTCTAATTTGATCCAAATATCTTTTGAAAGTGTGAACAGATTGATCTTCAAATAAGTGTTGAGGTAGTGAATTTCACTCGTTGATAAGTTGATTGAAAGTACATAGTCAACCGACAATTAAGTTGTCCTGGTAAATTCTCTGATTTGAAAGACAAAAAAGTGAGTGCATATACTACCACGTTCACTACAGTACACACATCCTTAGTGAGAACTAAGCTAAAGAACTGAGTTCGGGCTGCAAGCCCCTGTTTAAGAGGTGACTCGGACATACTAGAAAAAGTACAGAGGGCAGCTACCTGTGCAGTTCCAGAACTCCGAGGTTTATCATACAAAGAGCGACTTGAAAAACTGGACCTCTTTACTCTGTCCTATCGCAGACTAAAGAGAGATCTAAGTTTGATGTACAGAATACTGGGAAATGATTTCGGACCTACCTTGTTCCCTCTCTTTCTTTGCACTAGATCGGGACACCTCAGAGGACATAGCAGGCGAGTAGAAAAGCCAAGAACGAACAAAATACCCGTGGCATACAGGTTTTCACACCGAGTCATCAATACTTGGAGCCTACTGCCTGAAGCAGTGGTGTCCACATCTTCAATTGACTCTTTCAAGAGAAGACTGGACACTCACAGAAGCATACTAGAAAAGGAATAACATAGGGTTTTAAAACCTTTGGCGGCTATTGCATGGAAGTATGCAGTAGTTTTAATGCTTGGTTAACGATGAATCCTAAGTCATTGTGTGTGTTGACAACAGGTAGCTCAATGTTATTCATCATGTATGTACCTGTACCTCAGTTACCAATATGCATCACAATGCACTTGGAGGTATTTATCGGCAACTGTCAAGTTTAAGACCATTCAGATAATTTCTCCAAGTCATTTTGAAGCTCTAAGCTATCACCCCTACATTTTATCGCTATCCATATCTTGGCATGATCATTACATAACAATCTGAAATCGCCGTGGCACAAATAGATAAATTGGCGTATTCATTTATAATTCTTCATTTGCTTGGGTCGATGTGTGTGCTAACATATTCATTTTTACGGAAAACCTTGTCTTGCCTACAAGTTGTCTCAAGAGATGAAACAACAAATTAATATCTCATGTGGCATTGTCATGATTCTAGAATAATACTGAATCCTCAACACCAACCATCCATCGAGCTGAACTGTTTCTGCGCTAAACGACAGAGCAGTGAGCATCGAGAGATCCATGTAAAATAGTGAAGGTTAAAGTGCTGATGCAGGTACTTTGCTGAAAATGCATGCCTCAGCCAAGTAGGCGGGGTTACTGCAGCCTTCATCTTTGTACTAAATGTACTGCTCGATCAATAGGCTTTAATGTATCTTTAAAGTGTTGTTGCAACTACCTCTGACTGCCACAATGGGGCACGTTATCAGAAATAATGACGCGACTTTACGTGACGATTGTGTATAGCGAGGAATGTCGGACTTCACTCATCAGTATTAAGGCTAGGAAGTCTATCGACCTATATTAATACTTGCAGTTTGTAATACTGTGGAGGTCTAATCTCGTTTTGAATATATCAACAGAAGGTTCTGATATGAAGTGTTTTGGCAGAAGATTCTAGTAACTTGCTACTCGGTTCAAAAAATGAAACTCTAGGCGTAGACGATCTGACTTCTGTTTCTGAACTTTCTTCGAATGTCCTCTCAAATTATCAGTCCTAGACGAAAGTAAAAGATAAGACAAGTTAATACCAAGGTCATCGTTTAGTGTATGATGAGCCAATATTAGATCACCCCATATTCTACGGTAAGATAACGGGAATAAGTTAAGGTGTTTCAGTCTGTCTTCATAAGATAGGCCAGATAGACCTTTAACCATCTTAGTCCCTCGTCGTTGGACTCTTTCCAGCATATCTGCACCAGACTTGAAACAAGGACTCGCTGCTTGAATTCCATATTCTAAATGTGGTGGCATGCAAGTCGGGTATAATAATCTAAAAATTTCGTCATCTAAATACTGGAAAGACCTACAAATAGACCATAATACCTTGTAGATTTTCGCAGCAGCAACCTTACAGTGAATAGTGGTTTTGAAATCACTGCTTAATATGACTCCTGAATCTTTATAGTCTCTTTGAGTAGCACGTGTCTACATATTGTATAGTGATACGATTCATCATAGTTATTTAGTTGCATCACCACACTCTTATTGGATTCTACTTCTGGTGACCACCTGTCCATCCATGCCACCAATGAGCTAAGATCATCCTGTAATACTATTCTATTTGACATACTGTGTATGGGTCTCCGAATCTTTATGTCATGGGCGAAGAATAGAACGGATGATCTTGCTACAGTTGGCAACTCATTTACATAAAGTAAAAATAGAAGAGAACCTAGGCTTGTACCTTGGGGAACTCCACTGTTTACAGGTACAGTACACTAACGTAATCAGGCCAGAATAAGATAAAGTTCGCGTTGGGTGAGTTCGATTTCGCAGATATTGATCCATCAGTTAAAAATTTTTTTCTTCCACGGAAGGCTCTGTACTTTGTCTCTTACATTTTATCCTACATGTCAGAAGCTCCCGAGTTATTCAGTCTTATAGCGACTCTCCTACAATCAATGTTGATTATGTTTAAATTTTAGTTAAGGCTTTTTATCAAGTTACTTAACAGACTGTGTCATTCGAACAGTAACAATCCGCATATTTTTTGTACCATTATGATAACTACCATAAACGTGTACGCTTGACCACATAACAGACTCTAGCAAAAATGCTGATAGTTTAAATATTGCTCTGTGAATCATTCTCTTCTCCATCTATATGTGTACGCGATTTGACTATACATTTGCCTCTGTATTTGCTCGTATACACATATTCTCCACTCTGCTTCAAATCTGTGCTTTAGGTAAATTACTTGTAGTTGCCACTTCTGATTTAAAATATCGTTGGAATGTATATAACAGCGGTTATCGAGGTGGTTGATTAACGAAGCAAAGCTACTACAGTCTCCGCTGATAGTTTATGCTGGTCATGTCATTACCCAACGAGAGTTAATAGAGGATGCGGAGGTATGTGCACTCCAGGGCGACCTAGACCTTTTAGATAGCTAGTATCAAGCCTAGTTGATGACTATCAGGGTGGCCAAGTGTGTATACTGGACAAGAACGAACAAGATATCCGTTGCAGGCAGATTTCACACATAGTCAATAACCCTTAAAACACATTGGACAAAAGAGTAATGCACACACCTTGAACTAAACCGTCCAGGAGAGAACTGGAAACCGACAGAAGCTTACTGGACTAGAAACTACGTAATATATCAGCTTTTTGTCCTTACTGCATGAGTCAGAATGTGAATCTGAACCAAGAATGAACTTCCACTACACAAAGAAGTCCTAAGAAATACATAGAACTCTAATTATGCCTCACAAAGCCCAAGCTAAGTTCATAGACATTAATTTTCGATTTATAAACGCAAGGCTGGAAGTAAAGAACATTAAAAGCGGTTGTTTACTCCAATAAGTTTTATTTTTAAAACAATTTATGGGGTTTTCATATGGACTTTCGAGATGTCCTTAATGGATTAACAGGTAGCTTGATTCGTATTTTGATTAACGATGCCTACAGTTATTACTTGTGTTCTGATAGCAACTGATGCGTTTTACTTTTATCAACAAGTATTTTAAACTTTGTTTTTAACTTACTTCCAAACTTCACTTCAGTATTTATTGGGCCTCCACCTGAAAATACCATCGATAAATTGCTCCTGAAACTTGAGTCTTGGCAACTGAAAAGGGGTTCAGACATTCCACACATAATCATTTTTGATGAAGAGTACTTGGCCTTCAGCTACGTTTAAGCTCACTAGTTGTTAATTATGGTTTGGGATCGACCTTCACACTGCAAATGAATAACTTGTTGCAAAGACTCATCACTACTGTCTGTTTAGTCTTGTTTTTATCTAAGCAAAAAACGACTTATGATACAATCTAGTCAATTTTATGGATATACAGTCATGAGCAGTTTAATGTCTCAAATTCGTTCCCTATTTCGTCCTGTGTCAAAAGTTCGGGGAAGTAATAATAACTCCGAGGCATTTTTAAGGAAAGTAAGGTTGTGTCTTCTTACTGCAGTTGCTGGTTATGACAATAAGCACACTAAATATTCAACGAGGATTTCGCCGAAATGGGTTTACGGGGATGATGCTTGCTTCTTATCAGTAACAGATTCTTCGTACGTCTTAGGTAAGTCGTGTCATTCAAACAAACAACTTAACCGGATATTGTGGCGTTTGCACATAGTTTTTCGTGTCTCATAGTTCTTTCATCAACCATTTATAAACCCTAATGTTTCTTAATAATTCGAAAAGTATACGTAAATGATTGACAGGTCTCTCCTTAATAGCTAGGTATCGCTTCTCTTTCTACATAATCATTCCACATATGTTCCGATGATAAAACTCCTTCAAGGCTTTGATTAGAGTTGAAAAGTTTACTCGCGTTAGTTTAGGTTGCTAGATTTTCATCGTAAGACGTACCGCTACCTAAGGTAAACGTAAAATGTAACCAAAAGTTATTTAAAATATTGTAACATGTTTTGTAAACATGTAAAGTGTTTACTGGACATTCAGGAAATATTTGGGGTTTCCGGATGTTTCATGCTGAAGAGAGACTGAGTAGTATGTCGTGTCATGTCTGAACTGTATTATGATGCTTTATTATTTAAGGTCATTTAATACTTGTGTATAATTATATTTTTAAATTGTAACTACTTGGTATTCAAATAAACAAATGTAAGACTTGATGCGGCTCAAGTTACCTAGGCTTCGTTGTTTGTAGGTGAAACGGGGATGTGTATTGTTCACTTTTACAGATTGTGGGTCTCCGTTTGTTGTACCCCATCACTACTTTTAGCTTTGGCCCCTGCCAATTCATAGCTGATATTGTGTGAGAATGTCTAGATAATTAATGCTCCTGCATTTCTTTGATTGGTCTAAAGTCTTAGTTTTTCCTGTACTTTTAATTCCATTGATCTCCCACCTTTTATTTTAACCCTTAGTAAAATAAGCATCAAAATATATCGGATTATAGCTTGTTAGCAGTAAATTAAATTACAAGCCTAGTTTTTAAGTGCATCTATTATATTTGGCGTAGATTTTTTGTAGAGCAAGTTTTATAGTATATTTCGGATACTAAACATAAAACTGTCCTACCGGTCTACTTTCAAATCCTCTATCGTTTTTATTTCATACGAAATGTTATGTTTTATGTTTACTAGGTGTCGCTGATGGTGTTGGTGGTTGGCGGTCGTACGGAGTCGATCCTGGTCGTTTCTCTAGAGCAGTTATGAAGAATTGTGAGCGTGTTGTAAATTCCGGTCGTTTTATTCCTGACAAGCTAGAGGTTTTAATTGCCCAATGCTATGAAGATGTACTGAATTCCAAAGAACTTATTTTGGGTATGATAAGTCGTTTATAATTGTCTGTCCCTTATGTTTCATTGTTATTTGACAGCAAGTTCAGTCTCTTTCTAAGAACCTAGTAGAATTAGAAAGTCACTTAGCTATCTCTTATCGTTGTGTTACTATGGGAAGTACAAATAATTTTGAAAAATTTGAACGAATGGCTCTTGGTTAACTCAATTTCGTAGACTTAAGTTTAAGATAACCGTAAGCCACTTATCTTCTTCTGTATGGTCTGATATTTTTCATCAGTAAAAACAGTTTACTGTAGTTCCAAGTTTTTGTTGTAACCAAAAAAATTAAAAAAACCATTTCCGCAGTGGACATTGAGTGGAACTGTTTTGTTGTTAACTACGAGCTTTCTTCTTTATTTGTATCTTTAGGTCGCTTTGAATCAAGAACCAACCAAAAACGACCTACCTAAACAAATCAGAATGTTAGTAGGCTGATTGTTTAGTGTGAGTTTATGACAACTATTTTAATCCACCCAGTATGTAGACAGTCATGCTACATTATTCAGTGGTTATTAGTAAATTGCAAGTGCCCAATATAAAGTAGTTGGGAAAAATTTCAACTCGTAACCGAAAAGTTTAAATCAGTTTTCAGGCAGTATAACCATAAATTCAGTGTATTTTTAGTTTGTTTGATTATAAGCTTAGTCCTTTATAATGAAGGAATTTGTTTTAAATACATAAACGATCTTGCAGCTCTGAATGTACTTATTAACGTCAAAGGATTCTTGTTCTGCCATTTCTGTCACATTCACTGTGTCTATGGTGATTTTTGTATGTTACTGTGATGACATGACTCAAAATCAATTGCACTAGCGTAGATACATTCATTCATTATCTTCCCTAAATTTCCAGTCTAATTCTATGCTTTTCATCCTACTGCTCAGCTTTTTCTTGCTAGATTATATTTCTTGTGTGTAGTTTCTATTTTATTTGGTGTTGTTACTCCTACTCATCTTTACTTTTCATCATGTAAATTGACCTGATTATTGCGACATATTATACGACAGCTTGAACCGGAAAAGTCCCATTAGATCCTTTGTTATCTACGATTGATCTAATCATTAATTGTATACCGAGCAACACCCATAAAGGGGCAAGTAGGTATCAATTAAAGCGGTTGTGTTCATATACAAACTTAGAGTACGCTTGTGCCGAGGTACAACATGTATTGTTTAAATGTTCGCTATTTGGATTACTTCCAAAAACTCAGTTTTGACAATGTTATAAACACATATCAAAGCGTCAGCTAATGATTTTTATTTTTGTTTTGGGACATATTTGCGAAAGCTTATTTTTTCTCTAGGTTTTATTCTATAGTTAAACTGAAGAGGTTTATTTGAAACAAAACTAGGGTGTAATTTAAATTAAATAGCATAATAATTAATGACAGTTTTCACATAAAATGTAATACGATTCCTCCTCAGTGAAGTTCAATGAACTAGGTGCATGCGAAAAATCACTGTTCTTAATGGCCCAAGGTACATTTAGAGCTGAGTCAGTAAGACTGACGTTCGACTCTCAACCATTGGACTATGAAATGAACAATATATGGTATTGATATCGTAAACGCCATATATGTAGCTCTTTTGTTCAAAACGTTATGGAGTTCAATAAAAGTTGTTTATTGAAGATACATCAACGCCTGTGAACCATTGGTTTATCATATGTCCGTGTACATCTAAGTTTAGTGAATGCATATACTATTATTATTATTACTATTATTATTATAGGTAGCGCAACCCTATGCATAGTTTCATTGCAACGTAATGAACATAGAGTTTATGGTGCCAGTCTAGGTGACAGCGGCTATTTAATTATTCGTGAAGGACATGTGATTCAACGTTCAGCCCACCAAAAGCATTCATTTAATACACCATTCCAATTGTCTTGTCCACCTACGCTTCACTCAAGACGTTTTCATTGTGATTTGTAGGTTTAAAGTAAAATTGTTTTAATTTTTAAATATTTGAGTTCTGATTCAAATAATTAGCACATAATATGTACTGCATAATTTTCAATGTAATTAAAATCAAGAAATAATGTAGTTTTGGGGTAGAAATTCATAAACTAAACTAACAATAATACCTAGCAATCTAGAGTGACGTAGTCGATGTGCTGTGTAGGTTCAAGACTGAAGGAATAATTCAGAGTAAATACTCAGACCAAGATACCATAGTTTTATATTTAAAAGATTGGTAGACAGGTATAGTTCCACATTTTGATTAACGTTATCAGCTGAAATGAGTTTTTTTCAGACAATTTCTTGGTATATCAGTTATTGATAATAATGAAGGAATGTCAGTTAATTGTTCATTCTTCGTGTGGAATATTGGATTACTGGTTATTGTACTCATTTTAGATAACTAGGCACACACCAGCCTCCAAAAAACCAGTGTAGTTCACTAGGGCCCCTGGTTGGGGTCTGAGAGATGGTGCTACACAGTGGCTAGAGACGTTATCAGATATGGCTCAGAATAGAAGCCAGTGGCGATCCTGCTGTAACCTTCTTCTACTTTCTTCATAAAAAGTGGTTGTGTCTCCCTTACCTAAAAGATTTCTTCTGATTGTACCTTTGCGTTCCCTGATTACTAGCACATTACCTTACACCAATCTCTTCGTTATTGTTCTCTCTTTTTTTTGTTGCGCTCCTTAGCTTTTTTTTCTTTCTTTGTATTCCTCTCGAATCTTCATTGTTTTGTGTGGCGCATATATATTGGCGCTCTCTTGTACCAATATTCATGTGTCCAAATAAAAATAATAATAAAAATAAAGTGTAGTTCAAAGTCGTCCTTGATTATTAAATACATAAGTCTACGTGGGCAATCGATAATTTTTTATCCGGTTATTGAGTTAGATTCCAATGTCTACATGGCGATTATATATCGGACTTCTCCATCTTTGTGACAGTTGTGCTTTCCTCTTCAATTATAGTAAATAAAAAGAAACAGTTTAAGTTTGGTTTAGTTACATTGCTAGTATACCGAGCCTTTGGAAATAAATTTGTCTAGTCTAATCTGAATTGTACTACATTGTTCAAGAATAATTTGGTCTTGTGCAACTTTTTTAAACCATAAATTTGGTTCCATTAGATGTTAAGTATTTCCAACTGCTAGAATAATATCGAAACGGAAATGACTATCGAGGAAAATATAAGTGAACAAATTGACTAATATAGACCGATGATTGTAAATAAAATGGGATCCACTACTAAGTGAACTTATTTCTTTGTGAGTGCAAAACTCCTAACGGGGTCAGAAATAATATCCGGTATTTGCTTGATCTGAAAATCGTTTTAATCATGTAAAAAAGCTATTCAGTGTTTAATTATCATTGATATCATTCCCAAATATCTTGGTGATGTTTCCTACCCAAAATTTGTTTCTTGTCTTATTTTTTAGTTACTATGCAGTCATTACCGATTTGTCAATGCTTTTGATAATTTAAGTACTTCTATAGTAAATTATATGTATTAAAATATTTTATAGACCTAATCAAGCTGCCCAAACATCTGTAGAAGTCAAACCGGGTGACGTAATTATCGTAGGCACAGATGGCTTGTTCGATAATTTGACAGAATCAATGATATTACAAGAGGTAAAAACCATTGAGGTAAGCTGTGTGTATTTGTATGGAAAAATTTATCAACTTCATTTGAAGATAAATGAGAAGTTTGGTCTTCACATGTGTTTGAAAGCCGTCAGAAGTTTCCAGACTCATATAGTTGATTGAAAGGAAATCGAATATTTTTAATATAAAAAACTGTGAACAATTTTTAGGGAATGTTAGGATATTAGTCAATTTTTTATTGATGTGAACACTACCATATATTGTTTCTAATGATTGGCTATAACCGTTGTGACACAATCACTAGGTAATTATTCAATCTCCGACAAAAAGGCTCGTTGTATAATTGTATAGTTGATCACACTCTATATTGAATAACAGTAGTTGTGAATGAAATAAGAACTTTAGAAAAGGTTCAAAATGATCTCATTGAAGTATTCCTTTCAACTTGTTAGGTTTTTCCACCCATCTAACCATTAAAAGAAGCCGTATGTTATCGGAATTTCATTATGGGGACAGTATGAGTTGTCTTTTGGAATAACAAAATAATTACATGTACTTGTATCTAACATTTCGTTGGCTACATAAATCGAACAGGGTTGAGGTGTAAACCAATAAACTAATGCTTGGGGCTTTGAAATTCAGTGTTAACTTTATGAATAGTTATCGATAACTCAATGTTATTCACTCACGAATTTTGTTTTCTATAGATATGCTGATTTCTGATGATATTGTTTCTAATATCTTCAGAATGGTCTAGAGTGTTCCTAAGTAGTGTTTAAACTTATATTCTCCATCGTTTATGGGCCATAAAATGCTTGATTCTTACTATGAGGTCTGTTTTCTTACAAAACCTACTTTGATTGTGTCCACACTTTATATACACACGTGATTATCTTATCATAGGTCCTCTTAAATTTTCACATGTGCTAACTTCATTCTGTAGAAACAAGTAAACAGTTAGCATAAAACATTACACTAGTGCGTAGTTATCGACTATTATATTAAATTGTAATTTGGAATTTTGGGTAGTTTTGGTCTTTTTGTATGTATACGTACTTCACCTGGTAGTTACTATGCCGTACATTTGAGACTCCAAATCGTTCCCAAAGTATATATCCCTATCATTCTCATTGTCCGTCTATGCTGATTTCATCTACCTTTCCAGCTTTTTCTATGATAGCTGTTTTATCTGTCCTCGTAATCACTTTAAATGGACCATCGTAGTTCGGCTGCCAAGGTGGTTGTACGTTATCTCTTCTAATGAACAAATGAGTGCTATTATGCAGTAAACGTAGCGTAGCTCCATACACCAACTTTGCTTAACAACATCCAATATCCTGTTTAATTGTTGTTCTTAAATTCAACATGATTAGAGTAAGCTTATTAGCCCAATCGTTATTGACAATGACAGTCTTAAGAGACGCTTTTAACTGTCTGTGCCGGCGTTCAGGCATACCGTTTGCCATCGGATGTTAGAATATCGTGCGAATACGTTTAATTCCGAGTTCTGTAAACTGCTGGAAAAGGCGACTTTCGAGTCGAGCTCCTTCACCAGTTGTGATAATCTCTGGCACTCCATAACAAGAAGTCCAATTCTCGATTAAGGCTTTGGTAACAAACTCGGCCAAGGCACCCTTTATCGGTACCGCTACAGGCCATCGCGTGAATTTATCGATGCATATAAAATTGTGGTTGTAGCCACTGGAAATTGACAGAAATTGATATTGTTATAGCAACTCCGTTACAATTAATTTTGATTACGCTTAATTAACTTATTTAACAGACAGTGTTATTCGAACAGTAACAATTCGTATATTTCATTATATTATTATGATCACGATCATGTCTGTATAAACGTGTATACTTGATCACATGTGACAGCCTACACACCTATTCCTCACTCTACCTTAAGTGTTAATCACTCAAATATCTCTTGATAAACCATTTTACTTCCCATATATATGTGCTAGAATCTTATTAATTGCCTTGCCGTGTAGCATGTTCGGGATGCTATTCTCCCCCTCGAAATGCAAAATGTTGCTTCAGGATTGGGTTGCATTGACACCCAAACTAATGATAGGGTGTGAAGTAATTGAGCGTGTCGATCGCTTCACTTATCTTGGAGGTCTCATCAGCCCTTGTGGTCTGGTGTGTGACGAAATCTCAGCACGGATACAGAAGGCTCGACTAGCTTTTGCCAACTTGCGTCATTTATGGCGTAGGCGAGATATCCGTCTACCAACCAAAGGACGTGTTTACTGCGCAGCAGTTCGTTCCGTCCTACTCTATGGCAGGGAAACATGGCCGACAAGAGTAGAGGATATCCGTAGGTTACTAGTATTTGATCATAGGTGTCTTCGAAATATTGCTCGTATATCCTGGGACCATCGAGTAAGTAATGCAGTTGTTAGGAAACGGCTACTAGGTAAGGATGGCAAATCAATTGATGACGTAGTGAAACTTCATCAGTTGAGATGGCTGGGACACGTGTTACGTATGCCCAACGACCGACTGCCTCGACGTGCTATGTTCAATGGTATAGGAGTAGGTTGGAAGAAAGCAAGGGGCGGCCAAACCAAAACATGGCACAAGTTCATGAAGTCACTGACAAGTAGACTGAGTCATGTTAGTAGGTGTAGACTACCTGGTTGGGGACCGCGAGATGATAGCAACCGATGGTTAGAGACCTTGAATGACATGGTTCAAAATCGTTTGCAATGGTGCAGGTGCATCCATTCTTTGTGTTCTCCCAAATTTTGATCTCCTTATTCCTCCTTGTCTCTTTTTTCTCTTTCCAAATTTATTTCACTGTATTATACTCTTTAAATAAAATCTCCAAACACTGATTTTCCCGATTACTGCTTATACTCTTATTACCTCTACCACTACAGGATTTGAATCGACCACTGCATCTGTGCTAATGTGGTGTGGCAACTCGAACTGACGTACGTACGTACGAAGTTCTACGTTGTTACTGACTGACTGACTGCCTTGCCGTGCTTCGCTTCGCCTTGGTTCGATTTGACTCCGAATCTGCCTCCGTATCCGCTTGCTCGCGCGTACTCGCCTCTCTGCTCCAATTCGCTCGATGTACTTGTAATTTGGATATCCGTGTTGTCCAATAATAAACTATAGTCGTCACTTCTTGTTTCCTTCTGAATTCTTACACCGTTGGGATTTATTTAATAACGGTTATCATGGCGATTGATAAACGAAATCTAAGGTATAATCTCGAATCCAAACCGTACAGTGTTCTTGGAGTACTGTGTGTTAACTGAGTTAATTGAAAGTCTTGACAAAATTAACTGTCAACAAAATTAATCGTAAGGGAGTTGCTTTAGTTGACCCACCATTATTTCAGCTTTTCTTGAACAATTACCACCATTGTATGGTATTTATTTCACATTGTTGTGGCGATAGACCAGGATCATATATACTCATCAACAACATAAAAATTCAGTTTACGTAACATAAACTGGTTTTAGAATTTTGTTTAAGTTTAGATTTTGAACCTGATTTTCATTGAAATTTTTCACTTGACTTACAATAACGGTTTTTCCCCATCAGTTGTTGCTATGATATTAGTGAAACTTCTTCTCTAGACTGTTAATATATATCTTAAGTAGCTTTGAATGTGAATAATGTTTAAATTTATCTTTTATGTCGAAGTCAATGTAAAATTCGGAAATTTATTTTATGATTATTTGTCGGATAGAAAGTAAGAGTTTAAAAAGATACATAATAAACAGGTTTTCCAACTGTATTTTCTCTCCATTACTACTTTCCAGTTACTTGCAAACTGTACAATTGATAGTTTAAAACAATGTGCTACACGTCTTGTAGAGCAAGCTCGGAGTGCGGCGTTCGCTCCTGATTTCGTTTCTCCATTCGCTAGTGAAGCACGTCGTTACGGTATAAACATTGCAGGTCAGTTGGAATTAATTTCTGTTCTTATCAAATTGAAGTTTATTTTTTTCTACCATTGATTCGTTAGTTTTTTTGTACACATTAGAAGATGAAGGAATTTGACTACATCGCCAACCTTAACACTTAAAATTAAGGAAGAGTACACAAATTTATATTTGATAAATTAGTAACTGAGTATATTATGTGTATTATATATTTTCCATTATAATGACTAAGCTTGGTATGCTTATTTCACAGATTTGAAGTCATTTAACATATAACAAACGGTAATGATGACTTATTGAGGAGTACTTTGTGTAACTGCTACTCTCCCAGTTATTCTGTCTATTCTTCATTTCTTTACAATGATTATATTATTCTGTGTGGTAGATTTCATCTGGAGCCTACTACATATTAATACTTCTATGTATTAGGTAAATACAGATCACATAGCAATTAAAGTTAATGTTAAAATATTTGACCAATTATTTCGAAACCTTCTGAAGTTTTCATGGTGATTATAGACCTCTTGACATTTCATCAAATGGTTCTTATTTTTAAGTATGTCAACAATTTGTCTTTCAAAAAATTGGTTACAGTGTTTCCTATGTACCTGGAATAGAAACAGTGAAATAAGATTGTCTTCTAAAGCTTATCATTTTTGTTTAACTGAATGGTTGTAGAGATGCGTTACATTTTGTAATAGTTTACGTCACGAGCTAACCTTAGTTGTTAAGTAACCAATACGAAACAGAAAGAACTGAAAACATCCATCTTGTCCTACGTTATAACTTTGGGACCCAATCTCAGAAAGCTCGATTGATTTTCGCCTACTTGCAACGCATACGATATAGGCAAGATGTCCATTCATCAACCAGAAGACGAGTATACGACGCATCAGTTCGTTTTTGAACCAACACACAAATGTACAAGGTTCTATGTTGTTTATGACTGACTGAGTTTATAACTCAACAGTACACACCTACAAACTTTTCAAAGATCAGAATCAAGTTCTGTTAGCCTCAAGTGGTGTGTGTTTCTTTTGGATTAATCAGCTAGTATTTGATGGTTCACATTATCAATTTCAGTTAGTAGTTCTCGTTTTAGCGCATTATCAGTAGGTAACTGTCCCACTTCTGATGGTTTTTGACTCTATGTAAGCACTTAACAAATGACGTGATCAGATTACCAATCATAAACCATATGCAAATAAATAATGCATACCTAAAATTCTTGATTGGGTTTACAAACTACGTTAGTCACTTTCTATCCAAAGAAGAAATCTGGGTATATAATGTATACCAGGTATCTAAGAGTCTTATTATTTGTTTGAACACATAAACATTGGGATAAGAGGGCACCAAATAAATATGTGCCACAAAATAACAATCAGGTTATGCAGAGATAGGGAATATAAAGTGTGTATAATACAAAAGAAGAACAATAAACAGAAATAAGTGTGAGAGGTGAATAATGTTAACGATGATAATAATGGGAGCAGCAGTTCAGTTAGGGCGCCCAAATGCCCTGGTATGGCTGAGGGTGTAGAGAGTCAGCTCTCTTTCTCTAAATGCTTTCACATGGCCACGTGCATACAACAAATGCCAGGAAATTCCTACTCACTGCCTTCTCGTGGCGGGGGCGTTGTTTAGGAAGTTGAGAGAACGAAAAGCAAATGTTCGGCGCTTCAACCGGCTTGGTGAATACGGAGGATCTACCTAGGGGAGTTGGGAAACCCTGGTTCCAAACCAATGGTGCACATGGACTCCAGGATCCTGAGGAAACAAATGGCGTATGAACTCATTGTTGGTCACCGGCTACCGTGGTACTACATCTAACGCTGCTCCACTGCCTTGCAGATTAGACCTCTATGTCAGAGGCTTGGGGTGTGATGCACCCGAAAAACCACCTGTTCCAATTTGGACATCCGAGCAGTATTTCAGCCCTCACACAAATAGAATGATTTGTTTGGCGCATATGTATTTGGTGAGTCCTTGTACCAACGTTTGTCTAAATAATCAAATCGTAATTACTACCGGAAAAATTACTCTTGCTTCAACAATCATTCAGACAAATCATATCCACAATCATTTGGTAATATTCGTTTTTCAATTGTTGAGATCATGAGTCAATTGAAGCTAGACCACCATGGAAAACCTGGAAGCACTGGACGGCCGTTTCGTCCTATTGTGGGACTCCTCAGCGGTGCGCATCCACGATCCCGCCTCGCGGCATTCGAGCCTAGGACCTACTGGTCTCGCGCGCGAGCACTTAACCACTAGACCCCTGAGCCGGCATCCAACAGTGTTAGTGTCTAACTTCAACTAACCCACGAAATTGAGCGACACATCCACCATTGTCATCAGTGAGTTGCTATCTCACAACTGACCCGGTTGAACTCCACTGGTCACTGCTTTTCACTAGAACTCCAGGATATACATTTTGAAGCCAGTCAGTAGTGAGCATATGTTGATTAATATCAGAAGGGGGTTTTGTGGAGATTTTAGTAATTTGAATTGTTGAGATCATGAGTCAATTTTTCTTATACTACATCACTTATCTACTCCATTTTACTCTCTTTTGATGTATTCTGTCTTTCAACTTATACAGCAGCTCGCCTATGGTGAAAACCCTATCCTATTTAAACAGCCTCAAGTTACTGATTGGTCGAGAGTTGAATGCTTCTACCGACTACGAATACTAAATCAGTCTTTCTGAAACCACGTATATCATTCAAGCTGGCCTTTTTCAACGTTCGCACACTAAAATAGATCGGACAACAGATAGGGTTGACTATGTCTCTAAAAAATCGCAACATCAACGTCTTTTGTCTATCTGAGAATCTTATTCAAGACTCTAGTGAAGTACTGCAAACTCGCTCTCCATCCGCCGATTATATAAGCTTGTTCCCCGAGCAATTATCGGGGGGGGGCTGTGTGGCATCTTTACCTGGTTTTGCTGACGTTCATGTCGCAATAAACGCTAGAGCTGAGGTAACACTGATCGCCTGGATCCATATTAACAATCAACTATGTGATGTTAGATTAGAAAGCTCAATCAAAGTTCGAAGAAATCAGTGTGAGAAACGATATGTTTTCGTCATATCCGCTTACACTCCAACAGACTGTAGTCCGGATGTAATCAAAGATGAGTCTGATCACCCGTTAAGTGTTCTATAAAACGTGCGTTCGATAGATATTGAAGTACTACCCGAAGACTTGATAGTACAGGTCAGGAGTTTAGGCACGGAGGAGAGTCGTTCGGGTGGCCAATGGAGTCTTGTTGATCGCAGGTTAGATAACAATGACCGTTTACTGCAACTTTGCGCAGACTACAACCTGTTTCTGGTTGACGCTAACTATCGTCACAGTCATCACCGATGCGCTACCTGGATTCCTACCTTTGCATCTCAAACCTGGACTTAGATTGATCACATCGTGATCGGCTACCTTTGGCGTAGTTGTATACAAGACTGCCGCTCCTTTCGGAGTAGTTACCTGGACTCTGACCATGCCCTTCTTTGTGCTAATCTTTTCTTAAGTTTCAGTAGGCAACAGTCTATTGCCCCAAAGGTCGATATCAGTGAAATAGGTACAGCTTCTATTAAAACTAAATATCAAACCGAGCTAGGCTCAAGGCTGGCTATCAATCCACCAAAAAGTATAGATGAGCACTGACTGTAGTTACATCTCATTTACAAGCTCTGAATTTCTACAGACTCCTTACAACTCATTGAAATATGTTGATCTACTCTGGGTGGTCGGTTACGACTAATCAACCTAAAGAGGCGAAATTCCGCAAGGAACTCCTACTCTTGAAGTACCACAAAGCAATAGACCCAAAAGACTTGCCCCCGACCCCTTTTAAAGACGATGGTGACCTTCTGGTTAAGGAACTGACTTGTTTATAGATAACTAGCGGCTAGAGAGTGTTCTAATGTCGTGGAATTAGCCGGTAGTTGTCCCTATTTTTAAAAAGGGATCACGTCGTTTCTGCAACAACTATCACGCGATAAGTCTACTATTATTGGCTTCCGTCATATTTCGTAGATTGTCAAAAACCGGGAAACAATGACTTGTGAGGAGTAGGTTGGTTCCCGTTCCAGTTGAGGATGAATTGATTGTATATTCACAATCTGTAGAATGTTTGGACACAATCACACTTGTTGCAGACCAGCAATTGTGGTGTTTCTTGACATTAGGGTCGCCTTCGACTCGTTGAACAGGACTGTTCTCTGGGATATTCTACTGAAGGAGGGTATGCCTCAGAAATTTATTAACATCTTGAAGGTCTTTTATACAAACACCTCAGGCAGAGTGAGGGCATACAACCACCTCTCTTCATTTTTTCATTCAACCAGTGGAGTTAGACACGGTTTCGCACTTTCACCACTTTTCTGCAACTTTGCCATCGATGACGTTATGAAAACAGCTCTGATGGATGTAGGTAATGGTAGTGTGGATCAGTTGCCCGGAGAAATACTTTTCAACCTTGAGTATGTGAATGATACTGTCTTACTGTGAGATGTTATCCCCGCCATGCAATCTGCACTTAATCACTTGGCAATCAGTGTCCGCAGATATGACGTGTGCTTTGCACCTCCGAAGTGAAAGTACTTCTAAAAGACTGACAGAACCCAGGTCCTGCACTCACCTTGGGTAGTGAGCGGATAGAACTCGAGAAGTTGGTGTATCTAGGTAACTGCATAAGTGCTGATGGTGGCGTGAGTGATGAAATCAATGCACGTATAGTGAAAGCCAGAGCGGCTTATGCCAATCCGGGCCATCTTTGGCGCCTTCGTGATATTAGTCTGGCTGTGAAAGGCCAGATCTACAACGCATCGGTGAGAGCAGTTTTGCTCTATGCTTGTGAAAATTGGCCTCTCTGAGAGTCGAGTATTTTAAGCGATTCTCTGTGTTTGATCATCGTTGTCTCCGAAGGATTTCTGACATCCAGTGGCAACACCATGTTAGCACTGCAGTGTGTCCGGGCACAGCAACGATAATTCGGATGGTGTAACCATCTTGGAACACCTACTTCGATGGCTTGGACATGCCTTATGAATGTCAACCAGCCAATTCCACATATGTTGCCCCTTCGCGACTCCCTGGTTGGAGACCTAGATATAGTGCAACACAGTGGATTGAGTCGTTATCAGACATAGGTCAGAATAGAAGCCATTGAAGATCCTGCTGTAACTTTATTTTAATTTCTTCATAACAGTGAGAGTAAATTCTTTAACTGAAAGAAGTCTTACTGGTTGCATTTTTAATAACTGAACTTATTGATTATTTAGACAAACGTTGGTACAAGGACTCACCAAATACATATGCGCCAAACAAATCATTCTACTTGTGTGAGGGCTGAAATACTGCTCGGATGTCCAAATTGGAACAGGTGGTTTTTCGGGTGCATCACACCCCAAGCCTCTGACATAGAGGTCTAATCTGCAAGGCAGTGGAGCAGCGTTAGATGTAGTACCACGGTAGCCGGTGACCAACAATGAGTTCATACGCCATTTGTTTCCTCAGGATCCTGGAGTCCATGTGCACCATTGGTTTGGAACCAGGGTTTCCCAACTCCCCTAGGTAGATCCTCCGTATTCACCAAGCCGGTTGAAGCGCCGAACATTTGCTTTTCGTTCTCTCAACTTCCTAAACAACGCCCCCGCCACGAGAAGGCAGTGAGTAGGAATTTCCTGGCATTTGTTGTATGCACGTGGCCATGTGAAAGCATTTAGAGAAAGAGAGCTGACTCTCTACACCCTCGGCCATATATGGGCATTTGGAGATAAAATTTAAAGGAATGAGCCTCTGTCGACTATATTGACGAGGTGGACATTGTGAATGCTCTCGATTGGATTGGCTTGCGGTTCCCTTCGAATCGATGTGGGCGGGCTTAGTTCACCAACCAGCGCCAGTCAACTCCATTGGTGGTCGAATGCACTTCCCACTGCGCCAAAACAAATTAAAATGATTTCATTACTAACTGTAATCAGCCTGTAAATAACATGTAGGTTCATAAATGATTTTTATTCTCATCCAATAAATTGATCTAAATTGGACTTCAAATAACTGGTATGCTTATTAAGCCTTCATATGCTACTTTTCCATCAAAATACTGAGATATATACGTAAAGCTCTTCTAAAATTTGAATTTTTTAAATCTTCAGGTAAACCTACTGTGCCCATTATTCCATTCCCGTTGTCAAACACACAGTATCGATTTTATAATTATTACCCGCTCAACACTTTAAGCCTCAGTGCATGTGATGTATTTGATACAACTATTTATGGCAATAAGCAGACGTAGAAAGTGATTAGCAATAGAATTCAAGACGCACGTTTTGTCCTTTTTAGGACCGGTCAGCTGGGTATAGTTGCGTCTTAGAGCTGGTGTTCACTTCGAGACTCGAACCCAGTACCATTCGCTTTAAATTTCATCGCGTTATCCAATGAGCTATTGAATCCAGTTTGTGTAATGGAGTATGTTTAATTCATTCGTACTGGTTGTTTAAATCTTTCCATTGATGTTAAGGATTGCAATTGATCAGTCTTTTTTGGCATATATGCATGTAAAATATATCAAAGTGTATCAACCATCAAGTTATTCTGTGACATTAGGTATTTTCATTAATGAAATGAAATCTATTCAATATTGTAAATTTATGTTAACATTCAACCACTATTTTACACTTGTCATTTTTTCAAGGTGGAGTTCCTGGTGACATAACCGTCATTCTAGGATTAGTTATTGAGGAGAAACCATCACCAACTAGTAATCATGTAAAAGAAACACGATCCTCATTAAATCATCATCATCATCATCATCACCGTTATCATCATCATTTACTTTTTCAACCAAATCGAAGTTTATCATGTTTTGAATTAAACTATAATAAATTTCATTCATTCGTTTCATCCTCTTCAACATTGCCAACTTCTTCAACTAGTACTAATACTGCTACGTCTTTTTCTTCAAAATTATCTCGAACTTATTCATGTCCTTAATACCTTTTTCTAGTTACATTCGAAAAAAAAATCATAACTAGATTTATCTTGTCCTACTGTCTGCTAAGACAGTCAGATACTGTTTAAGACTTATCAACTAGTTGACTATTTAACCTTTTTTTCTCTCACTCTCACACACACATACACTGCACATCTTTGACTACACATATTGTAAATACTTTTAACCAATGAAGTTAGCCAAACAATTGTTATCATTATTCTCTTACTTTCTTATAAGTGTTTTATCTTTTCACAGTAAGTCAAATAATCCATTTGTTTATAATGAGGGAGAATATCAATTTATGTGTAGAGTTGATCTTATGTTGTATAATTGTAGAAATCATATTTATCATATGTCTGTTTTATTTCCAAAAATTTAATTCCCCTTCTGTTTGTTATCAGTCTTATTTAGAACTTTTATTTCCATTGTATATATGTGATACATTTGTATGTATAGAGGACATTAGTGTGGCTTTGATTGTTTTTTTATATATTTGTTTTATCTTGATTGTTGTAAATGATCAATTTAATTGGTTGGGTAGAATTAATTAATGGTTGTGCATATGCATATATATTATATCTTGTTAACTTTTTTCGTTGTCACTTTCCTCTTTTATTGTATTGATGTGAAGTGTGGCAATTTCAATTCGTTATGAATTCATTCCAGTTTCTACGTTAATGATAATCAATTAAGTTCACGTCTTAATGTAAACATCAATATTGAGTTGTCTTAAATTGGACGAAAAGTGTATCCTGATTTTCGTTGCTAGAAACTACCGAAAATACAATCTTGCGAAGTTCGGTTGGAAACCAAGACTTGAACTAAATAGATGTCTAGTATTTTTTTCTTATTCAATCCTTCTCTAACCAAAGCTACATCATGATAATAATCATCTTGGAACTACATAAATATCTACGAAAATCAGAATTAAGTAGAGTAATTTATATCAGTTATGTTTGGTGATTTTTGAGGAAGTTGGTAGTTAATCTAATTTTTTACAGGGAGAATTGAATTTTGTGGTGAATACATTGAACGTTTTAACTAAATAAAATAATATTGATTGATAATAAATATCATTACATAACCAACATGTAACTTTCGTTCATCTTCTATAACTTCGTGCCAGTTGGTAGGAACTGATCAACATGATGTCATATTTTTTTAGAAAACAAAAACTTTTATTTCATTAAAAACCATTTAATTGGTTTTCTGTTTCATCAGTTCAACGAAATTTCATACCTCAATACTATTATGGCGCTCTAATTTATGCATTTGTTTGTTTTATATTTAACATGGAAATTATATCTAGTTTTAGTCAGCTAAGATGGACGTTTGATTTTAAAATTATTAAACGAGAAAGAGCTAAATTCCTAATATGGATTGTCCACGTTTTTCGGTCTGTTTACTCATGGGTGATTGTCACAGTTCAATAAATCACACGGAGGAAGTTAAATTCTTTAAGGAATAAAGAAAAAGAGTTTCTTTTACTATCGATAGTGTTATTAAATTAGGAACGTGAACGCAAAACTTAAATAGCATGTTTATGTAGCAGGTAAAATTAAGGTTCCGTACAATTTTTCCTATTGATGGATTCGACTAAATAAGAATTATTAACGTAACAAAATAACATGAATTCAACATATTTCGCGATTTCTGATCAGTTACTTAAAGCCCTACAGATCAATATTATCAGTGATTAATACTTCGTTTCAGAAGCTCGCTCGTTTATCAGTAAGTTGGAACAGATCTGTTAAAAGTTTTCTGTCTATAGTTTAAAAGACACCTTTCAGTTTACTTAAATACTATAAAAAGTTGACGTTTCTTATACATGTTTTCCTTTAATGTATTATCATTATTTACCGCAATCCACTGGAAGAAACCGTGCTAATAAAATGTCAATAGGCTGATCTACTCCCCCTACCAAAAAATGAATTCAAGCAGCTCTTACTAAAGATATTTGTTATATCCTAGTGAGGATTAAGTTATAGTTAACTTCTGAGAACTATTTATGGACTAATATTATACGTATATTCTTATTATATAACTATTCAGAAACGAAATTACGTATATCTATATTCCTCTTATTATAAGCTTTATTTTGACCTATAGACTATTATGATACGATTTAATATTCTTAAATTATGCTCAGTTTGTTAATTAAAGTCTCCCGCAATCGCAGCCACTTTTTCGCTTAATCTTGTACAGATGTTATTTCCTATTTTATGATGTGATGTGGTTCGTTTGGCTTGTATATAAACCAAGTATATTTGAAATAAACGATTCGTATATTGGAAGCTGGTATTGGTGTTCTGGACTCAACTGTTAGGGCTAGTCTGCTTATACCGGTCGACACTTCGTTGGTTTGGCACAGTGCTAAGATTGTATTCCGATTGGCAAATAAGTCACGTGATATTAGCGGGCTTAAAGACAACAATATTCAGTTTCAATTCAGTAACGTCTTACATCTTCAGAATAATGGAGTGACTATGGTTCGACCACTGAGTCTAATTCTGGCAGATATCTTTATAGGAAACCTAGGGCAGACAGTAATGAAATCGGTAATCAGTGATACGAATCTTCACTTCAGGTATTTTCATAATATATTTATGGCCTGTGATGGTTGTTAGCACGCTTCTCATAAACTGAAAATTCTCAATATGGCACACGCGAATATAAGATTTATAGTGGAATATGGACATGATAACGTGTTCCGTTTTCTAGACCTTGGTATGAATCGTAATACAAATAGTGTATTGGAGAGATATTTGTTGCAAGGACAAATGGAGCGGAATATATTTAAACTTCAGTAACTTCTGTACAATAAGCTACGAGATGTCCTTGATTAGAACGCTTTTCAGTCGTGTCAGAGTACAAAATTCATGGAGAATTAGCCGTAGTTGAACGTCATGTGATAGTATTTACCCTCAAAAATTCATGACCAAGTATAGGAAGACTAAAGCGGAGATGGAGCATGGTATAGTGGAGAAGCAGCCTGTCTTCCTAAGAATGGCTTTCATAAGTTATGAAATAGCTAGAAGGGTTGATTTCATATTAAAGGCCATGATAAAATGTACGTATCCAGCTGCCAAACTGGTCTCTGTATCAAACGACTTGCTCATTAACGTAGTTATGTGTGAACAAATTCCCGCTTATGTTACCTCCAATTATGTCTACCAGTCTACATTTACGCCCCAAAGAATATATATCGGAAGAAGAATTCGTGTTATTCTGATACGTTAATTGTTCTTGCTTTGATCAAGCATTAATATTTATTAAAAATTTTAGAATTTTGTATAATAACTGTATTTCAAAACTTGATAGTGGCTTTGCTTCGTTAGTCAATCACCTCGATAACCGTTGTCACATAAACATCAACAGTTTTTGAAATCAGAAGGCAATGAGAAACGGCAACTACAGTTTATTAGCGGATAGCGCAGATCACAAAGCTATAAGCACATCAAGCAATTTTGAAGCGGAGAGGCGAATAAGCATATACGACCAACTACATAGTCAAACTGCATAAGGGCGCAGCAAGGAAAAGCAGGGACCAACAACAGAATTTGAGTACATATATAAGTAGGGAGGGGGATGAATCAGCGAGTGATATTTAAGTAATCAACATTTTAGCTAGAGTGTATCATTGTGCTTTAGTGATCATAACGGTACAAAGAAATATGAGAATTGTTACTGTTCGAATAACATTGTCTGTTAAGTTAATAAAAGGGTTTAACCGTAATCGAAATTGGCTGTCGGATAGTTGCTATAATAACTCTCTCCTGCAGACAAAGATATATGAAAAAATGTGTGTTTCCACAAAGAATGGTAAGTCGGATAGAATAATTACGATCGTTTGAAGATAACGGCTTACATAAAATCTGGATGAAGTTAATATGTGCTGTGTAGCTGGTTCGTTCCCGTCCCTGAAGTTATATAAAGTACTGGTAAGAAATAAAAGGAATGTGGTATCATTTAAGAAAAATTATACATATAAGGGTACACAAGATATGCCGAGTTTTACAGTGTATATCATGAGTTTAATACTCTGTATGTACACATTAGAGGGGAAGAATTATAATTACTATTCAAAATAGTGGGAAATTATCAATTTAAAATTGTAGCGACGTAGAGTTGCGGCCATCTTAATCTATGGCCGAATCTCGTCGTTACCAGAGTCTCTTCATTTTGCTTCGTTAGCATCGATGATTCTGTTTCGTTTTGTGTGACCCTTTTCTAGGGTTCTGTACTTGTCGATTGAAGATCGTTATCGATGAACGCTGGTTTCACTCAGTCGTGTTGACTACATTTGCCTTTCCAACTTTTCCTACGGTAACTGTCTTATCTGTCCTCGTAATCACTTTAAATGAACCGTCATACTTCGGCTGAAAGGTGGATGTACATTATTTCTCCTAATAAATACGTGAGTGCTATTATGTAGCTCTTGCGGTACGGACACTCGTCATTGTTGTAATCTGGGAGGTGTTATCTTTAGATCGTTCATGCGCTTCTTCAGGCGTTGCACGTAGTTGGCTACATCAGTTGGAACACTTTTACCTGAAGCGAAAAATTCTTCGGGTAGTAGTAGTAGAGTAGTTCCATATACCAACTCTGCTGGATAACATCCAATATCCTGTTTAATTGTTGTTCTTAAATTCAACATGATTAGAGTAAGCTTATTAGCCCAATCGTTATTGACAATGACAGTCTTAAGAGACGCTTTTAACTGTCTGTGCCGGCGTTCAGGCATACCGTTTGCCATCGGATGTTAGAATATCGTGCGAATACGTTTAATTCCGAGTTCTGTAAACTGCTGGAATGGACCTCCTCTATCAGTTATGATAGAAAAAAAAACCATGATTTGGGACTTGTAGGATCTCTTCATAGAATCTACTAATTCTTGAGTATTCTCAGCATAGACTTTATTCTCTTTTGTCAAGTTGTTTGAAAAAACCAATTTCAATGAACGACATGAAAATCTCTCTGCTAGAATCTTTGTTCTTGCTCTTTTCAAAATGATAAAGAGAATTATGTGTATGAAAATCTTTCTATTATATTTGATTTTATGTAAATGCCTAACCACAAAACATGTTTGTTTTACCTCCCAATCTTGTTTCTTCGTTATTTTATAGCTTGTATGATAATTATCGATCAGATGGTAAGTTTATCAATCATGAATCTAGACTATATGTATATATACATGTTAAATGGTCAAATTGATTGACGATTAAAATTGTTAATCGAAATATTTTATTACTTGAACGGTTTGTTTGTATTCATCATTATTCATGAATGAAAACGCTAAGCGTTTTGAATCATGCGAATAACATGTGTCCTGATTAAGGTTGCCTCTTTATTTCTTCAACTTCAAATCAATTACTATTGATTAGTTAGGTATTTGACCCAAAGTGATTTTTAATTACATATATACATGTATATATCATTATGCAAAACAGTATTGAGGTCAACAGTTTTCGTGACAGAACAACTGATTAATAAAATGATAAACTTGATTAAAGTGGTCTACTTGATAATTCTGTGGTCGAATTGATCTCTAAATTCCAATTAAATAAGCTCTAAAAATTAGAAACACTGGCCAACTGTCTTTGATGTTAGAAAGGAGTTAGGGCTACTTTTTTATGTATTGATTGCCAAAATAAAATAATAACAATTTGTGAATATTGAGTGAAAATAAGTTACAAAACCATTACAGTTACATTTCTATTTATTGTATCAATAACTATTTATCTCTAGTATAGGGGTTGTGGAGATTATTAAGTTTTTGATTGAGATCATGAACCGATTGATGTTAGACTACCACAATTGAAAACCGAAAGCCCTGGGTTCGAATCCCGCAAGCGGGATCGTGGATGCGCACTGCTGATGAGTCCCACAATAGGACGAAACGGTCGTCCAGTGCTTCCAGGTTTTCAATTGTGGTGGTCTGACATCAATCGGTTCATGATCTCAATCAAAACTATTTATCTTCCAGTGTAAGGCTTTCAATTTCACCATTCCAGAACATCAAAAGTCTTGATATGCCAGTGAGTTAATATCAGGATCTCAGGAACTATAGGGAGTAGTCAAAATTTCAAATTAGTTAACGAACGCATAGTAATTGTTATAGCGATACACTTCTAGAAATTCTCTGTAACTTATTATTCCATCGAAAGACAATAATCGTTGACGAAATTTCTTTTCTATAAATAACAAAGTTTATTTCATGTTGTGTTGCTTGCGATAAATAAACGAACACTAATGGGATCTAGATTTCGTTCTTGACAATATACATCGATGCCACTCTTATCTGGCTACAGTCTGTCCCCC